TTTGTGGGAGTTTTTTGAGGACTCTGACAGGCTTTATCCAAGACGCCCGAGCGCAGCGGGGGTCCTGGCATTGTGTTTGACACCACACACCTGTTGCCGTCTTTGATGTGTTCACTCCCCTGCTGAGAGAGAGGGGGCCGTCTCCTCAAATGCAAATACAAGGCAGGAGGAAGAGGACAGGTAAGGTAAGCAAGAGAGGCGAAGTCTTAGAAAAATATGATTGATGTTCCCCCGGTGGATTGAGGCTGACTCTTCCTTGCTCTCAGGTCTCTGCTAAAAAGAGTTGGTGCTACTTTTGCATACTGCCAGCGTGCGAGCGTGTGTGTCGCCCACCTTCACCGTTTGGACCTCTGTAAATTGGCGTAAGGGAGATGAGAGGGAAATGAGAAAGGAAAAAAAAATAAAGAAGGGGGGAAGTGGGTGTGAGTTGGAGGGAAGAGGTGGGGGGGAGAAAGTAAAGAGGTCAGACCAAAAGGAGAGGGAGTGAAGGAGAGGGGAGAGTGACTATTTCATTATAAAGCCATCACTCACATGGGCAGCAGCCACCACATAGACTCTTCAGAGACCAAGCCTCTCTGGGCCTGCCTATATGTGTGTGTGTGTGTATACACTCTTTCATGCCTGTGCATCCTACCATGCATTATTTTTTGACATGGGAGGTATTTTCGTGTGCACGTCTGTTCAAGTGTGTGTGTGTGTGTATGAAAAGCTGCGAGAGTTGGGGTGCGTCAGAGATGAATGTGAGGCACATGTCTTTTTTCCAGCCAGGTGACAGGGGTGGGTTCCTACTGAAGGTCAGACCTTATCCTCCAATGATAGACCTGCATTAAATGTGCGTGCAGTGAGTTTGTGCGTGTCTGCGTGTGCATGTGCACACAAGCGTGTGTGCCCATGCAGTGTGTATCACCGGGAGAACAAGCAGGAAGACAGACAAAAGCCGGGACAAGTTTTGTTTTTATTTATTTATTTTTCTCCACACAAGCGACTCCGTGTATTAGCGGCCCATTTGTATGCATGTGTGTACAAGTCTTTTATGTCCGCGGATGTGCATGTGTGTGTTGCTCAGTGTGTGATGAGGTGTTTATATGATAAACACAAGGCAAGCTTGAGAGGAATTCTGATCAGGGGCTTTGCAACAGTTGTTATGGAAACAGCATTAAGCAGTTGTATTAGCCAGTGGAGGTAATATAAAGGCTGTTGAAAGTAACACACAGTGGGGAGCGAGGCAGTTTGGGAATATAATACAAACTACACATTATTGCTCTGGTTTACAATAGACTTGATGAAATTTTATTGTGTGGCTAGAACCGAACAAAATTATCCTTGTCATAACTCATTGTCTGACTCTGTGTTGAGAGCTACACATTTTAATTAGCCAGGTTAGAGGAACATAGTGCAAACAAGACATTATTGGTCTGGTTTACAATAGACTTCACATCATTTATGTCAGCGTAAAGCAGAACGCAACTTTGTCTGTGTTCAGGTTTCTCTCTACAACATAATCTGTAGTTCCCAGTCTTGAGAAAAGCACCCACTGCTCTATGACATTGGTGATTTTAGAGGTCAGTCAGCACTGTTTGAATATTTCACAGAGGGATGCTGAGAGATCAGGCCTGTCACATTTCTGTCAACAACTGTGGATAATGACATACCCACAGGCACCTCTCAATTTTAATGGATTATTGATTATTACAGTTCGAGTCAAATTGTGTTACAAAGTAGGTTTAGCATATAGCTGCCATTGTTATGCCTAATTTATATGACACGGCTTTGAAAGACAAATGTGTGAAAATAGATCGGAATCAGTGAGGTGTAGGCTAAATGAATGGCTGCGATAGTGATCCTGATCAAAATAAAAAACACAGAGAAGCCTGTAGTTTGCAAAAAATATATAAATAAATAAACAAAATAATAACAGGAGGCAATTTTGGATAGAGTGTCTATCAACATCAGACACTGACAGGGTTGTTCTGGGAAGGAGAGAAGCGGTGGAGTTGCTCTGGAACAAATTACAGCATCAGCAGACCTCTCCTGGTAATGCTAATGCAGTTCTTTCCCCTCCACATATGTATACAAGACTTAGCACGCTCAAGGAGAAAGGCAGATAGGGATTCTGTCGCTGAAAAGGACACTTCAGTTTGTTACCTCCTGTACTGCCAAAATAAACTGTTCAATGCCAGATGATTTCTGTGGTGAGAACCAGCGGCAGCCTTCATTCGAGGCACTTCAAATGGATGTGACAGTTCCAGTTTACAGACAGCTCTGTTTTCCCCAGATCTCTGTCGGGGTGATGCTCATCATTAGACATCAAACGTGTGTGCACGCACACACACACACACACACACACACACACACACATACTAGCCTGTGGCCAGACCCTATAACGGAATCTCCCTGGGGAAAGCTCCTGGATAAGTCTGTTGCTGTGTAGGCGACCCACCACCACCACCACCAAACCCTCCCCTTCCTCCCGTGGAAATCTCCCTGAGGCCTGTGAGTGTGTTTGAATGTGCTCGTGAGTATGTGTGCGTGTGTGTGTGTAGATATATATGTGGTGTGTGTGTGTGTGTGTGTGTGTGTGTGTCTGTCTGTCTGCTTTTCTCTACATGCCACCAGTTTCTTGGAGGGAGATGGTCTCAGTGATGCGTGAGTGGGAGGCTGATTTCCCCAACTGCATCGCTCGCTCCAATCTAACTTCCCACTTATGCTCGCTGCTTTGTTAGATATTTCTTAAGTAACTCTTTCTCTCTCTCTCCTTCTCCTTCTTACTTTCTCTCAGACAGACAGGAATAGGTGTGTGTTGGGAAAAGTGTGCGCACGCATTCATCTGGGCCCGTCGGTAATGTATTATTACGTAGACTCACACAGACATGCAGAACGTCTGGGTTTCTGGAGTAGATCCCTGGAGGAAGATACTTGTCCCTGTCCATGTGTCTGGCACAGCGCGCGCACACACACACACATGCACGCACGCACACACTCTCACAGTATTCCTAAAGGGTCAGTGTGTCACCAGGCATGCTCAAAGCGCTCCATCACCGCTTTCCACGGGGACAATAACTGTGACTTCCTGAGGATCGACCTTCACCATCTCACTTCTGTCACTCTTCACATGGGCGTGTGTGCTGGTTCGGGAGTGAGCAGCGGTGTGTGTGTGTGTGTGTGTGTGTGTGTGTGTGGGTGTATTTTAGAGTGTGTGTGTCAGGCTGCCGTTTCAGCTGACTCTTCTGTTTCTGGCTTTTTAATGGCTCTTATGGGGCAGGCCTTTAATTGCAAGTCTCTCTCCCTCCTTCTTAATCCTCCCATCCTTCTGTCTCTCCCAGCCCCTCGTCTCCTCTCTTCTTCTCCTCTCTCCTCCCGCCTCCCACTGGCTGACAGTCACTAGGGGAGCCCGAGTGCCTGGCCGGAGCTGTGGAGGCCGTATAGGATATTGACTTGCTGCGGAGTGGTTTGGGAGGAGGAGAGGTGGCTGCCTGTCACAGCTAATGAATAGATGCATAAATGAATGAGGCACTCCTTGTGTGTGTGTGCGTGTGTGTGTGTGTGTGTGTGTGTGTGTGTGTGTGTGTGTGTGTGTATGTGTTGTCGCGCCTCGCTTTGGCTAAAAATGCGCCTGTGTGTACGCCGCTGAGCAATTTTATGTGCCTCAGACAGACAGACATTAATAGCGGCCAGCTTGATAGTGATAATTATTAAGGGCATCATAGCAGTCCCTCCTGCGCACACATACATACATATAAACACACATATAAATGCGGGACGAGGCAGTGGGGGGTTGGGACGTGGGGATCGAATGGAAGATACTAAAAAAACAATCCAGTTAAGTGCCAGCACCCTCCAGCTGCTCTCTCTTTTCGTCTCTCCCTGCCTTTGCTCCCATCTTCCCTCTTTGTCGTCCCCCCCCACCCCCCTCCATCTTGTCTGATCGGTGTGGAGCTGGAGTGCTCTCACGCCAAACTGGGACAAAAAAACCCCTAAAAACACACACACACACACACACACACACATAGGGAAGAGACGGAGAGGGAAAGAGGGAGAGGAGGTCTGGAGAGGAGACTGTTGATCTGAGGGGGCAGATGAAGGAGTGCTGGAGTGTTGATGTCTTCTTCACTACTGCTTTGTGCCACATTTCAAACACTGATTGCCTTAAGAGGACAATTTACATTTCATAGTCTTTCACAACAAGTGGGTGAGATGGGAGTCAGCGATACATAGAGAGGGAATGATGTTTCAAGGAGGAAGCCAGGGGTGAGAGAGTTCACCCAGCAAAGGGGAGAAGGCAGTGTAGCGTGAGTGACTAAAAAACAAGAGGTATAAACAATAGTCTCTTTTTGCTGCGTCTTCTGTGCGTCTCTGCTTGTCTGTCTGTCTGTCTGTATGTGTGTGTGGACGTTTTGTTTTTCCCTTACTCTTGGTAGAATGCACCTGTATGATTTGAACTTTCTTTTTTCCTTATTGGATTCATATGAGTGTGGAAGAAGAATAGAAGCAGTGTGGAGAGGAGGAGAGGAGAGCCGAGGAGATGAAAAGAGAGCCGGAGGAATTACGAATCAAGTTAGGAGCAGGCTTTATCTAACGGGAAACTGTGAAACTGCAAACTACAAGAAAACTTTTCCTATCAGCGCACTCTCTCAGCTAGTGTATTGGTCTGCACCCCCCCCGCGTAAATGTGTGTGTGTGTACGTGTGTGTTTATGTAGCGTGTGTGTGTATTTAGGAGATAGCTTTTCCTCCCCAGTGGAGGGAGACATCGGTGTGTCGGTGAGTGTGATTGGTTGTTGGCCCTGAGGGTCCGTCCTCTATATCTGTCTCCTGACTGGCTGCTCTGTGACCAATCAGGCGCCCAGACCTGACCGTGGCAATCAGATAGTGACACACTCTCTATGGGCATCGGCAGGTCATCTGGAAATACCTGTTATGTTTTATCTCGCTGTGACACACATGCACACACTGATGCACACACACTAATATAACCTTTCTGTCTTGTCTTTGTCTCTCTAGGAGATTGCTGCATATCTCATCACTTTTGAGAAACACGATGAGTGGCTGACGACATCGCCAAAAACCAGGTGAGGAGAGAGCAGACAAGGATTTCCGCACACGTACAAACACAGCATCACTCAATCAGCTTGTGACTCGCATTGGTTTAATCTCAATGACTGAGTGCCTGCGTTTGATTAAAACATTAGTGATGTACGTCGACTGTCTCCAAAGGGTCCCGCTAACGGCCTACTCTACATGTAGAGAACGCTCTGGAACACGGCTGGACTGTAAAGCACCTAGTCAGCTGGAAATGGAGTATTAATGAATGTAAATGTATTAGGATAAGTGATGTATAATTCAGACATAGGATGGTGAAGGGGGTTTAAAGGGAAGGGGGGGGGGGAGTATGTGTATATAAGATAGGGTGTGAACAGGGATTCACATGCCAGAACTGAATATTCATCGATCCGAATGTGCCATAAGTAGCTCTTTTCCTAGAATCAGGAGAGGTTATATCCAGGAAAGACGGCAGGGAGAGAGGGGAAAGCGAAAATAAAAGACCGAAGAAAAGGGCACTTTGAATTATTGATAAATCACCTTATTGACATTTACTTTAGTTAATACAGATGTAGGTATAATAAAAAAAAAAGAAGAGAGAATGAAAAATGAGAGAGACAGACAAGAAGAGAGACGGAAAAGAAGAAAGAAAAAGTAAAGTTAAGTAAGTGAAGCGGTCACCTCATGCCCCCATTTCTGATTACTGACACCGCTGAAAGCCCCAGGTGATGCCTCTGCGCTCCTATTGTGCAAGCTGAAGGACTCTTCTCAGGAGCAGCCGGAGGCCAGCAGCGCAGTTTATGTTGTGGATGGATTTCTCATTGATTGGTTGTGCTGCCGTATAGCCTCAGCCTCCCAGCAGCAACAGCAAGCAGCAGTCATATTGGTGTTATTGAGCAGCAGTTAGATATAATCCCATTTACACATGACACGAGGCACGATTAGAACAGATTACACCTAATCCCATCAGATGGAAAGGAGCTCAGCTAACGGAGCCAGTGACATTTATGTGCATGCGTTGCTATGCGCGTGAGTGTGTGTGTGTTCGCGTCCACATGTGGGTTTGCACACTTGCGGGGGGCCAATATTAAGATAACAATCAATGACCTTCATTTCTCCCCAGACTGAAATACCTCATCAGTTTGAAGTAATGACTGTTACCTCCTCTCTCCCTCTCCTCTCACTTACTCCTCCTTCTCTCCTCCCTTACCGGACTCACTCACTCACTCACCCACTCTGTCTCTTCATCTTGCCGTCTATTTTTTTTTTTTTTTTTTTTCCCACTCTCCTCCCCTTGCCTTCTCTGTTTTTGCTCTGCTACACTGTGGAACGGTGGAAAAGCTTTTTATATCCCACACATCACAGCCCAGTTACAATCAATAGCATTTATGTCTGCTTGAATCAGATGGTTTACGAGGAACATGGGCACCGTCCATGCTCACGTACCTAGGCGCACGCACATATACATATGAACACGCACGCAATCGCCACCCAAACACACACACGCGCACACACACACACACACCACACACACACACACACACACACACACATCTGATCTCATCCATCTTCTCCATAACATAATTAGAATCAGCAGCTCTAAGATGACTCACACTGCTTGAGACAGAGACTAAACTTGGCTTTGATGGGAGGGTGGGGGTCTCCACTCCACTAAGAAACTGGCAGGCTCACCCCAAAACAGAACAGATTTAAGGTGTCAAAGAAAATCAGCTCAAAGTAAATTCAATTTCACTACACACAGTGTTCTGAGTAAATTGCAATCATCTCAGTCCATATATATGTGTCTACATCAAAATCGGAGAGGAGAGGAGAATAGCGGTGAATCGAGGAGACTAAGAGTAGAAAGACAGGTTAGGATAGTAACAGAGGGAACAGATGAGATGAGTAGATGAGAATAAGTGGAGAGGAGAATGAAGGGACTGAAGAAGCAGTAAGAGAAAATGAAGAGATACTATGATAAAGAGTAGAGAAGGAGGACGGGGATGTGTGTTCGTGCCTGCACATGACCGCGCGAAAGAGAGAGCACGTTTGTGAGTATATGTTAGTTTATTGATTGTTAACGGGTCTGTTCTCTTTCTGTTGTCATGAGATAAGGCAGAGCAGCATTTTTCCTCCTCCTACACGCTCGCAGCATCACGCGCACACACCTGTCCTTAACGTTTTAAAGTGTAATGATTGATTGCCGAGCAGCAGGTTTGACATTGAGCCCGAAGAACACACGGCAGTAGGTCCTGCCATATCTGATATCACTATAGCATCTCTGCCTTTGTACATGTATGGCTCCCGGTGCGTGTCTGAGTGTTTGTGTGTGTGCACGCATGTTCATCCCACCAGGTGTATTTAGAATGGGAGCTTAGAGGCCAATGTTCCTACTGTGCTAATAAATCACCCTACTAAAATATTAACATGTAGGAGCGTGGGTCTATGTATGGGAAGGGAAGGGAGCACATGGGACTGGCTATCTCGACTGTGGGAGAGTAACACTGACGTCACCGTGTAAACCAAGAACATGTTTTTTGCTTGTTTGAGTTTAGCAATGCAAGAGAATTTTGATACTATCGGCAGTTTGAAATTACAGCGTAAGCGTCATTTTTTTTTGGTCAGCTTCCACGGAGTTTCAAAAAACGTTACCATATTTAATCTGCGTAATCAACATAATGCAGCATCAACTTAGGAGTGTGTGTCTGTCTGTCTCACTAAGTCTTTATCTTGTGCTCCATCAGGCCTCAAAATGGCTCTATGATCCTCTACAACCGAAAAAAGGTGAAGTACAGGAAAGATGGCTACTGCTGGAAGAAAAGGAAAGACGGGAAGACCACCCGAGAGGATCATATGAAGCTGAAAGTCCAGGGAGTAGAGGTGAGAGGCTGCAGTGGAAAAACAAGTCGATGATCTTGTTTGCCGCCGAGTATGGTTTCACTGCCAATCTTGTCCTTAACTTACTCTCCTTCACTCCGAGGAGACACATATGTGTAACACAAATGAACACACAAACACACACGCCGAAGCTACAGGCCAATTTGTGACCTGAGAGCGAGTGGTGCCCCTCTTTCTTTCCCTCCCTCCCTGCTCCTGTCCCTGTCTCCCTTCCTCTCTCTGTCTCCCTCTCTCTCTTTCTGAAGGATAAGAGTGTGTTTGGCCCGAGGCCAGGAATGATGTCAATGCCTCCTTCAGCAGAACAGAGAGGGGTATCGATCCAGTCTCAAGGCAGCGTCTGTGCATGTGTGTGTGAGTGTGTGTGTGTGTGTGTGTGTTCGAGTCACATCAGCCAGCTCAAAATTGATTATTCAGCAGGAATATACCAAGAGGTGAGAGGAGTGAGCATGCATGTGTCAGAAACAGAAAGAATGAGGTGGAAAGGAGAGGGAAGGAGAGCCTGTGAGGAGGCACATGGATGTTCACAGAGGGCTCAGTAGTTTTGCATTAAAGGTGAGCTGGAGACAGGCGAAAAAGACACAGACGTAAAGGGAATAATTGAGATCAAGTATTCCCATCTGCACCTCTATTATTTACAACCCCGCACTTGCACTGACATTCATCTCTCACGCATTTGTCTGCAGCCGCGCATGGACGCACACACTCAAAACATGCACACATACAAAGGCAAGTGTTTCTCTCGCTGGTACTTGGTCAGTAATTGTTTGTGTCACCTCTTCCCAGGACCCCTCAAGCAAGCAAGTAAGCAGTGTGTAGAGCAGGCGCTGGGAATGAGGGAATGAGCAGAGCAGCGAGATGAGCCGAGGGAGAGGAGGAGGATGGGGAGAGGCAGGAAGCATGAGAGAAAAACATAACCCTGGATGGAGAGCCTCCTCATATCGAATGGAAATATATGGAAATGCACTCTGCCTTTGGCAAAACACACTTTAGATAGAGGGCGGGCTACTTCTGAGAAGAGGCAAAATGGCGAGAAAATATAAGTGTGTGTGAGTGTGTACGAGAAAGAA